CCGCCTCCGCCGCTCGTCATTGCCGATCTGCCCTTCGTCGCCACGCTCGGCTCGCTCGACACCGTCGTCGCTGCCGTCGGCACACTCATCCAGCAAACGGGCATCGACGGCGTCAAGATCGAGGGCGAGCACGAGGCGATGCCGCTCATCCAGCACCTCACCCAGCGCGGCATTCCCGTCATGGGCCACGTCGGGCTGCAGCCACAGCGCATCGCGTCCACGTCCGGCTACCGCGTGCAGGGCAAGACCGCCGCCGACGCCAAGCACGTCCTCGACGCCGCACGCGCCCTCCAGCACGCGGGCTGCTTCAGCATCGTGCTCGAGTGCATCCCCACGCGCCTCGGCGAGCACATCTCCAGCGCCCTCACCATTCCCACCATCGGCATCGGCGCGGGCAACAAGACCGACGGCCAGATTCTGGTCATGAACGACGTGCTCGCCGACCTCACCAGTCCCGGTCATGTGCTGGCCGCACTTGCGCCCGCCGAAGCACAAACCGAGCAGCAGCAGGCGGTGATGCCGGTGGCTAGCCCACTCGCGCCCGCACCGCCCAAGTTTGTGCGCAACTTTTGCGCACCCGGCTCCATCGGTGCGCTGCGCGTGGCGGCGGTGCAGGCGTATGCCGACGCCGTGCGCCGCCGCACCTTCCCCAATGACGATGAGGCGTACAAGATCAAGTCGACCGAATGGGCCGCCTTCCTGCAGCTCGCCAGCACCTAGATCCTCGCACACGCCTACAGTCGAACAGAGATGCATTTTCACGGTAGACGTGGTGGTGGTGGTGGTGATGATGATGAAGACGAATGTCGAGGTCGCGTGAATGTTCGTACCCAGTCTTCGTCGGTCTGGTTGCCTCCAAACTGGATCTCAAATCCACCGAGTGCGGCGTTGGGGTCTGTGCCCCTCGGCACCAGGCCGCGCAGTGAGCTTCCGCCCTTGCCCGATGACGACAGCGGCATCTCGCGCGCAACCTCGTCTGCCTCACGAACGGCGGCGGAATGCTCGGGTGGTAGTGCCAGGTCCACATCCGACTCCTGCTCGTGTTCTTCATCCTCCTTCTTGACTGGGCTTGGTGTGTCGCTGAGCCCCAACTTGGAGCACACCGGATGCGAAAGCCACTCTTGTCTCCAAACGCTGCGCTGTGCGTCCGAAGCCGTCTGCAACGCGCTCACATCCACGCTAGCGTGGGATTGGGCGAGCACGAAGCCCAGCGTGGCTTCGAGCGCCGCAATGTGCTGTTCGAGTTTCGGCCGCAGGCCCTGCGTGGGACCGCGCTTGCGTTCGGGGCGCAGGTAGGTGCAGGTGCGCTCGAGCTGCTTGCAAAACGTGCACACGGGCAACTCGCCATCGCACCGGTCCTTCTTCAGGAAGCACTGATCGCACGCCCGCGACACGCGCTTCCGCTTGCCTCCTCCTCCTTCCTTGGACGACGACATTGTGCGCAGATAGTGATGGTGGTATCCACTCTCGCCTGCAGTTTCCCCTTGCCACAACCTTTGACCCACGCCGAGAATCGCCCAAGCCCGAGTTCCGAGCCGGCCGGCAAAAAGTGTCGGGCGACCTCCTCGCTTCACGTGAAAGCGAGGCGGAGCGCCTTTGGACATGCACCACCATCTCCGGGCAACATGTCTTGGTATCGCGATCCGCATCCCGTGGCCTCTGGCTACTGGGGCCCTATCGCGTCCACCCTGGTGTGGTGCGAGCAAAAGTACCGCTGGTCGTACTACGTTGCCGAGCCGATCAACACGGCCACCAACGCCTTCTTCATCGCCCTCTCGCTCTACGGCTTTCTCTCCTGCCGTCGTCAGGCACTCCCGCTCCGTTTCGCACTGTGCCATCTTGGTGTTGCGTTGGTTGGGTTTGGATCGGCATGGTTTCATGCTACGCTGCTGTATTCTACGCAGCTGCTCGATGAGTTGCCCATGATCTACACTTCGGCGCTGCTCACCTACTGCGTCTTCGAGACCTCGCCCTCTCATCTCAAGCCTCGATTCCGCATTTTGCTACCTTGGTCTCTCTTTGCCATGGTCGCATGGATCACTGCCGTATATCTGCGCAATGGCAATCCGGTGTTCCACCAATGCGCATACGCCGCCATCCAGATCCTCTCCACCCTGCGCGTCATCTACCTGCTCACCAACACGTCTTCTCCGCTCACCTCTGCTGCGGGCAAGGTTCGCAAGCGCGAGATCACGCGACTGTACCTCTTTGGCGCAGTCATCTTCCTCACGGGTTTCGCCGTGTGGAATGTGGACAACATCTTTTGCGCCCATCTGCGCGCCGCGCGCCAGTACGTCGGCTACCCCTGGGCCGTGCTACTCGAGGGCCATGGATGGTGGCATATCTTGACGGGCTACGGAGCGTACTCGCTCATCACCGCCGGCTCGCTGCTTGCGCTGTGCTACAAGGAGGAGCCGGCCAACTTTGAGCTCACCCAGGCCGCCTTTCCCATCGTCAAGCGCCTCAAACCCTACTCCCCTCCCAAAGCACGTAGAAAGATCAAGCAATAGACCCAAGCACACGCTGCATCACTTCACATTGCATAGGTACACACTGCACACCGACAACAAGCAAGATGGACAATGGTACGACGTGCAAAGCTCAGGCCATGGATACTGCCTCAATGCACACTCACGACTGTCACATCGAGATAGAACTAGAACTGAGCTATTTGAATGCACATTGTGCGCAAGACCAAAGTGAAGCGTGGAGGGTTTAGAGGGGACGCGCGAGCGAGCGACGGTAGGGCTGCGGCTGCTCGTTGCTGCCGTGGTGGCCGTGGTGGTGGCCGTGGTGACCGTGGTGGCCGTGGTGCTTGGCGGCGGGGGCGCCGGGCTGAGCACCGGGAGCGTCGGCGTCTGAGCCGGCACCGTACGCGCCGTACGCTCCGCCACCGGGTGCGTCCGAGCCAGGGGCGCCAGCACCAGCACCAGGAGCACCGGGAGCACCGGGAGCGCCGGGGGCACCGGGAGCACCGGGAGAGCCAGCACCAGCACCAGGGCCACCAGCACCAGGGCCACCAGCACCAGGAGCACCAGAGCCGTTAGCGCCAGGAGCACCACCGGCACCACCGGCACCGGGAGTACGAGGGGCAGCGCCAAGGTCAGGGGGGCCCATGTCGATATCGCCAGAGCCAGCACCGCCAGCACCCGAGCCAGCGCCAGCACCAGGAGCACCCGCACCAGCACCGCCAGCAGCAGCACCGGCACCGGCACCGTACGACTCGTGAGAACCAGGGCCGCTAGCACCCGCACCAGCACCGGGAGCATCAGCACCAGCACCAGCGTTCGAGCCAGCACCAGCGTTCGAGCCAGCACCAGCACCGTACGACTCGTCGGAACCAGGGCCGGACTTGGCATCAGCGCCGCCCTTGGAGGTGTGGCCAAGATCAGTAGCCCTGCCGTTGGCGATACCCGCCTGCTTCTTGCCCCACTTCTTGAAGACGTCGACGATGGCCGCAAAGGCAGGCTTGGGCTTGCCCTGGGCATCGAAGAGCAGCGGAGCGCCGACCTTGCCCTTACCTACACCGGGGTCCTGCTGGGTGCCGAACCAGGTGTGCGAGTCCATCATGCCCCAGAAGGTAGCACCGAACGCGCCACCCTCGAGAGCGGCCTGCATGAGGTTACCGTACGTCTGGGCCTGCTTTTCGAGGTCCTGAGGCGAAGGAGGAAGGTTGATGGGCACATCGATCTCGGAGAGCACCACGGGAATATCCTGCGACGTCCAGCGGTGGATGGCATTGTACATGTCCTCGTACTTGTTATCCGGTCCGATATGGAACTGCAAACCCACGACATCAACAGGAACACCCTGGGCAAGCCACTTCTTGATGGTCTTGAACGCAAAGTCCGACTTGGGGTTGGCATTCTCCATGCCGTACTCGTTGACGATGAGCTTCTGGTTGGGACACTGCTTCTTGACCAGCTTGAGCACCTCCATGTATCCCTCTTCGCCGATGACTTCAAAGTAGCCATTGTTCTTGAAGCCCTGACCGTCGTCACGGAAGACCTCGTTGAGCACGTCGATGCCCCAGAAGTCGGTCTCCTTGACGATCTTGGTGCAGAGCTTGTTGGTGACAAAGTCGGTGATGGTCTTCATCATGGCCTCCTTGCTGAACGACTGCTGCATCATCTTCTGGCTCGTCTCGGCGCCCCAGATGAGCGTGTGGTACTTCCACTTGAGCGTTCCCTTGCCGTTGGCCTTTTCCGACGCAGTCAGCAGCTCGGTCCACGAGTTTTCGTTTTCGTAGACAAACTGCATCTTGAGCGAGTTGCCCGGCGTAACGTAGGGCATGTTCTTGAGCAGAGCAGCAGCGAGTGGGTCCTTGAGGTCCGGGTTGTCGATGGCCGAACCGACAAAGAAGCCCTCGGGGAGGTTCTTGACCAGCTCGTCACCCTTCATGCCCGAAGCATCCGTCGCCCAGTGCTTCTGACCGCCCGGAGCAGCGGCAGCAAGCGAGGCCTGCACAGGAGGTCCACCTGCACCCGAGCCTCCGGGACCGAAGGGCGTGCCACCGGGAGCACGGTCGTTGTTGCCACCCTGGCCGCCCGCACCACCGGGTCCAAAGGGGGTACCGCCGGGGGTGCGGTCGTTGTTGTCGCGACGCACGAGCGATGCACGGTCCAGCCGTTGCACGTTGGAAGTCTTACCCATCGCACCGCCAGCGGTGAGCATGAGGAGCAGCGCGAGCTTGGTGCCCACCATCTTTGCCGGAACGACTAGTGGAGCGTGGGAGAAAAAAATGGGAGTATGGGGAAAGGAAAAAAGGAGAAAAAAGTGTTGTGGTGAGAGAAGGAAAAGCCAAAGATCGACGAGGAGGGGAGTTATATATCTTGGAAGTGGGACGAGAGCGAATGCTATGCGTCTCCTTCGCGACGAGTGCAATGCGCACGGGGGGAAGGTCACACTGCAACTGAGGTGGCGCAGTCGAGGTGGGCTTGTTGGAGGCGCTGCAACGTCTCATTTGGGATGGGCGTCGAGCCACCGCCACTGTGCATATGATACTGTATCTCGTGCAGCCACGTTGTGTCTCATGTTTGACCCACCCCGGGCTGCTGTACGGCTTGGTGATGATCGACAGCGTCTGCATGCACAGACGCCGAGTGTTGAAATGTGGGGGGTTTAGGCGCTGCTCGACGTGTGTGTGTTGCTGGCGTCCAGAAATGAAGTGTGGGCGGGGGTTGCTGGATCACCGAGGAGCATGCTTACGTTGGCCGCTTTTCGCGGTGGTGAAACTCTTAGCAGCCTGCGCACACGCTTGCACGCTGCAGCCGTTCTCCGAGCCTCGATGCTGCATTCATCAGCCCACGCTGATCCGCTTGCGCCGGTGGAGGCCATCGTTGGCGCGCCCGCCAGATTGTCAAGTCGAATCCTGTTCTGTGACCGTCGGCTCTGCGTGTCTTCAGTACTCGCAAAGAAAGCGGATGCGACTGGGATCGACATATGTCGGAGTTGATCTGGCGTCGTCATGTGTCGTTTGAACTGGCGAGGTGGGTTTTCGGGTTGGTCCTGCACTTGCACACACGCACGCAGATCGCCGTTGTGGGCGAGACCGACTTTCTTGGTACAGAATCAGCGCAACGGCGTCTGCAGACAATACCCTCGACCAGCACCGCAAGGAGCTGGTAGGCGGCCAAGGGCAGTCCAAGGTGGGCCGCTGATCTCAATCAAGAACGGGTGGGCTTCCCTTAGCAGGGGCTGCAGTTGCCAGTCACCAAGTCGAGAAAAGAATTCAAAATGTTACGCCGAAATCTGCATAGTCGCGCGCGTTTTGGAAAAAATCGGGTGGAAATTCGAGGGCAGCACGCCCTACCCTCAACCCACCCGCGTTATCGGGCTGGCTTGGCTTTGCCTTGGCATACGCTCGCCTAGGTTGGTGGTGGCAGGGGCCCCGAGTTGGGCCAGTTGGGCCAGTTGGCCTAGTTGGGCCAGCAGTTGGGCTAGATGTACGGCAGTGAGGGGGTGCCTGCAGCTTTGATTTTCTCCGCGTCATTTTTGCGGTTCTCAGGGCAGCAACCCAACCCAACCGGCCGGCGGCGGTCGCTGGCAGATTTCAGTCGGATTTGGGAAATCGCGCACGAGGCGGAGGGTTGCGATGCTGCTTTCCAAGCGCTCTTTCATGCACGTTCTCCTTCCTCTTCGCCTCTCCTCCTCCTCGCCTCTTCGCCTCTTCGCCCCTTCGCCTCACCTCCTACCACCACCATCGCGCGCCCTCTTCCGCTCACGCACGTCATCATGAACGCCGTTCAATGACACTCGAAGCTGTCCCTCTCGGCAGCACGCGCACACCCTAGCATCCCACCCTGAATCGCCAACGCATACACCTTGCTCCACCATGCTCGAACGCATCGCCGCCGGTCCGCGCGCAGCCGCCGTCCGCGCCAAGTGCCGCTCGGCCGCGCGCTGGTGCGGCAGGAACCTCAACTTCTTCAGGGTGCATGTGCTCGTCTTCACCTTTGTGCCCCTCATCGCCGCCGCCATCTTCTACGCGTGCAACGGCGAGACGCACATCGACTTTATCGATGCCCTCTTCTGTTGCGTCTCGGCCATGACCGTCACCGGCCTCGTCACCATCAACATCAGCACCGCGAACGGCGGTCAGCAGGCCATCCTCTTCATCCTCATGTGCATCGGCAACATCTCGGCCGTCAGCGTCACCATGATCTGGATCCGCAGGCACTTTTTCCGTCGCAAGTTCGACCACGTCGTCCGCCGCAGCGCCAAAGTTCGCAAGCGCATGCACGACGTCGAGGAGCAGCAGCGCAGAGAACGTCGACACAACATCGCAAAGCTACAGCGCATGGTCGGCCTCAAGGCCTCCGACAGCGCAACCACCTTGGACGACACCGAGGACGCCGATCACACCGACTCCAGCTCCAGCGGCCACATCGACCTCCGCCGCATCGAAAAGAAGCAGTCCAAATCCAAACCAAAACGCAAGCCGCTGCGCGCAGACATGATCCGCCGCATCGACGGTCCCGCCTTCCTCATCAACTCGGCCGGCGACCCGTCCAACACGATCCCAGACCATCACATCCTCGCCGGCCCACTCACATCCGAGCCTGCCACCGCCGCAGCAGTCGCCGCTGCTCAGCCAGGCGCAAGCATCCTTTCCACCACATCCGAGTCCGACCGAAGAGACGAGCCCGCCGAGCCGGACCAGCAACAACCCAGCATCCGCATCTCGCTCCCGCACGATCCCAGCCAAGTCGCCGAACCCGGCACAACAGACTCGGCTCCTCGCCGCAGACTCTCCATCCCACGCTTCAGCGGCCGTCACGATCCAGAGGCAGACAGCGACGAAGAGGCAGTTGCAGACGAAGAGCTCCATGACACCGCCGACGTACCCATGCCGCAGTCGCCGCCGCTTCGCGCACGCTTCCCCGACCACCAACCGCTCGGACGAGGCAGACGCGTATCCGACCCGCCCCAGTCGCACTTCC